ACCTGAATGCTGTGATGAGAGGACAGACAGATTCGAAGCCTCGGAGGTCGTTGAGAAGTTCCAGTTCATTCAGGATTCGAGATGGACTGCTGGTAACATAGATCTTCTTGATCGCAACATATTTCGGCCGTCGTCTTTGCTGCGCATATTCGCTCCTCTGTGCTAGTGAATCAAAGTCCCTGCGCGCTTTTTTCAGTGGTGGTGGGGTCCATTGCGAATTTTCTTTCTCCTCGATATCCCACTCGTTCTGGTAGTGCTCATACAGCAGATCCTCGGCCTTGTATACTGTAGAAAATGTACCTATAACGCGTTAATATATGTAGCGAGCGATTGTAGGAAGTATATTACCCTCTCCAATCCGGTTGATGAGTCGGAAGCGATCTGTCAGACCTCTGAAATTGTCTTGAAATTTGTCCATGTCCTCTTGCACCGTGCTGTCAACAACCCCATCGCTCTCGTCGGACGCATCTGAGTAGGCATCCTCCTGGTCCTCTTCCGTCTCCGCCCTCGAATCTTCCATCCTGTGATCCTCTTCCTCCATTGACTCGTCCACCATCTCGTCGTGGTGGATCTCGAAAGGTTTCGCGCTTCTCGACCGTACTGTCGCCATCTTGCAGCTCTGTAGTAGATAGTATGCAAGAACTGCTGCGATCAAGCTTCCAGTCTCAGCAATTGGGTATTCGGGAAGCCTGCAATTGGTTGTTTAGTTTCAGGTACCGTCCGTCGGTCTGCAGGTGGGGTGGTTGTGGTTGTCAACAGCCAACGGGCTATTCCCAAAGGAGACGCGAACAAAACAACGCGGAGCGCGACTGACCGATGTCAACAGACAGACCCTGGTCGACAACAATATTTACAACCCACCGCCAGAACAACAACCCCTTGATGTCTGCAATTTCGCAGCAGAACACTGCGTATACATCGCCAACATGGATACAATTAATTTCGACATCAACGATGCTCTCAAGCATTACATGAGCGATCCTGCGACCGTCGCAACCCCCGAAGCAGATTCCAATCTTGTGGACTGCGAAAACGACCCCGAAGCCCTCACCAACTCCCTGATCAACACAGTCCTCAATCCGATCGTGGACTCAGTAGCAGAGAATCCAGATGCTATCACCAGAAGCTTGTCGTTTGACTCCCTGCAGTTCCTCCTAAAGTGCGCTCCTATTTCTCTCCCTTCCTCCCAAAACTATATATCAGAACCCGACTCTGAACTCTTCAAACTCTCTAGATCCTCATCGGTCCTCCCTACACATGCGCTCTCGAAGATCCTGGACCTGGTCGTGTCAGGGCTGTCGACTGAGGCCGACATCATACACAATGATCTTGAAACCGATGAGCAGGAACTGATCTCCCACCATAAACAATTGCTGGAGGTCTTCGGCTTTTTATTACAATGGACCATTGCGGCTGTCGAGACGAAAGCGGCGGAGAAATCCAGCTCGGCGCCAGCTGCAAGAGGAAGAGGGAAGGGCGCAAAATCCAAGGCTGCTGCTGGTAAGGACAAAGACGGAAACTGGGACTCCAGTGCTCAATTGCAGACTGCTCTGGACACGATGTGTAAGGTCCTCAAGTTGAAGCTATCCAAGATTTTCTTGACAACCTCGGAACGGGATACCTTCATCAGTCTGTTCACAAGGCCGGTATATATGGTTCTCGAGAGCGAGCAGAGGGTCAAGAATACTGCCATACGGATGCACGCATTCAAGGTTTTGTGTATAGCAGTCAAGCACCACGGACATGGTTATGGTAAGGAAAGGATTTTCATCTGGTATTTCCTTGGTACTGACATGATTTCTAGCGGCCCAGATATCCATTGTGCAGAACTTGACATACTTCGAGCATCTGGCAGAACCTATGGCCGAATTCCTTCATATTCTCTCAGAACAATACGACTACCCGCAATTAGCAGACGAGATCCTCCGAGAGTTGAGCAACAAGGAGTTCAACAGCAATGATACGAAAGGGCCCAAATCGGTCTCTACCTTTATTGTCAAGCTCTCCGAGCTGGCCCCGAGACTTGTCATCAAGCAAATGACCATGTTGGCGAAACAGTTAGACAGCGAGTCTTATGCTCTTCGATGTGCGCTCATTGAAGTTTGTGGAAATCTTGTGGCGGATCTCAGCAAGCAGGAAGAACGTGGTGATAATCACAAGTCACAGCTGAATGCTTTCTTTGATGTTTTGGAGGAGCGGTTCCTGGATATTAACCCATACTGCCGATGCCGAACCATTCAAGTTTACATCAAGCTCTGCGAGCTGGAGCAGAAATTCCCGAAACGAAGACAAAAGGCCGCCGAGTTGGCTGCAAGGAGTTTGGAAGACAAGAGCAGCAACGTCCGTCGAAATGCCATTAAGTTGCTGGGGACTTTGATCAAATCCCACCCTTTCAGCATTATGCACGGATCGCAGCTCTCACTTAAGGAGTGGAACTCTCGATTGGATGCTGTTGATGCTGAGTTGAATAGTCTGAAGCCTCCGGCGGAGACTCCAGGACTCGTCGATACTACGAGAGCCGATGTTACTGTGGACGCTGCGTTACTGGATGATGCCACGGTTATTCAATCCGACTCACCTCAGAAGCCAATGAGTGACGAGCAGAAGATTGCAGCAATTAAGAAAGCCCAGGAAGATGCTGCAACTTCCGAAGCCATCAATAAGCTCACATTGACGAGGAGATACTACGTTGAGGCTCTCAAATTCATCGAGGTCTTGCACGGAGCTACCACTACCATTTGCCAACTTCTCGGGTCTAAGAATAAGAGCGAAGTCATCGAGGCCATGGAGTATTTCGAAATTGGTGATGCATACAACATCGAGCAGAATAAGCTTGGTATCCGACGGATGTTGCGACTTATCTGGACCAAGGGCAACAGCGACGAAGGAAAGGGTGTTCAAAATCATCTTATCGAATGCTACAAGCGTCTCTTCTTCGAAGCACCTGACTCCTACACAGCCAACGATGCAGCAAATTACATTGCACGAAATATGATCAGTTTGACTTTCGGCGCAACCCCAGCAGAATTGACTTCGTTGGAGCAACTTCTTAGCACCATGATGAAGGCAAATCACATTTCCGAACTTGTTGTTCAGAAACTTTGGCAAGTCTATGGTGTTCAGAAACGGGAAATATCGAAGAGTCAACGTCGAGGAGCAATCATCGTCCTTGGTATGCTGGCAACTGCGAAGCCTGAGATTGTTGTTGGAGAAATGGAAACCATGTTAAGGATAGGCTTGGGAAGTCTTGGTCGATCAGATCTCCAATTAGCCAAGTACACATGCATAGCCCTTCGACGGATCAACCCAACTGGTCGACAAGCCAAAGAGACTGCCGTGCAGCTGTCAAAGCTCCCCAATGATCATGCTGTTCTACTCAAGCTTGGTGCCATTGTCGAGATTGAGTCGGATAACAAGGAGTGGTATGGTGTGGCCGAACAAGCGATCAATGCCATCTACACACTTTCGAAACATCCCGATACCCTTTGCTCGGGAATTTTGAGGAGGAAAACGAAGTACGTCTTCCAGAAGCGCACTGCCAAAACATCAGAACCCGAGGAACCAGTTGGCGAAGACACTCAGATGGTATCTCCACCCCCAGAGGAGCCTATTGAGGCAGAGCCAAAACTGAAGGGTTCTATTGCTCTTTCGCAACTTCTCTTCATTGTTGGTCATGTCGCCATCAAGCAAATCGTCCACTTGGAACTCTGCGAATTAGACTTCAAGAGAAGGAAAGCGGAAGCTGAAAAGAACAAGCCAACCTCTGAAGCGCCAGCAGACAAAGCTGCAAAGGAGGCAGCCGATGATCTCGACATGATTGGCGGTACCACTGAAGATGACTTCACTGAAGCCATGTCGCATATCCGTGAGCGTGAGCTTCTTTACGGAGAGAATTCTCTGCTTGCCAACTTCGGTCCACTCGTCTCTGAGATTTGCTCAAACAACACCACATACAGAGACCGCAACCTTCAAGCTGCCGCTACTCTTTGCTTGGCTAAGCTGATGTGCGTGAGTTCCGAGTATTGTGAGACCAACCTTCCACTTCTCATCACCATTCTCGAGCGTTCGAAGGACCCCATCACTCGTTCTAATGTCGTCATCGCGCTTGGTGACATGGCAGTCTGCTTCAACCATCTCATCGATGAGAATACCGACTTTCTCTACCGCCGACTGAATGACAAGGATGCCAGTGTGAAGCGTACATGCTTGATGACTCTCACGTTCCTCATATTGGCAGGTCAAGTCAAGGTCAAGGGTCAACTAGGTGAGATGGCCAAGTGTCTTGAGGACGACGACAAGAGAATTGCCGATCTCAGTCGCATGTTCTTCACCGAATTGAGCACCAAGGACAATGCAGTTTACAATCACTTTGTCGACATGTTTAGTTTATTGAGTGCGGAGAAGGACTTGGAAGAGGATGCTTTGAAGAGAATCATCAAGTTCCTTGCTGGCTTTATTGAGAAGGTACGCCTGATCCGTTTCGCTATTGTTGGGTACAAACGACTAACAAATCAATAGGACAAACACGCCAAACAACTCGCAGACAAGCTTGCTGCCAGACTCGCCCGCTGCGAGACCGAGAGACAATGGAATGATGTTGCTTACGCACTGAGTCTCCTTCAACACAAAAATGAGGATATCACCAAGTTAGTCACCGGAGGCTTCAGAGTTATTCAGGCTGGTGCTTAGATGAGTGGAACGGAACAGAAGATTGTATGATGTATGAATTAATGAGCATATACGGCGGGGGGTTGGCTGGTATAGGGGGGCAGGTGGTTTTGGTGTTTTGGTTAATGCATCTGCTTATTTTTGCGTTTCGGTTTGTCTGTTTTGTGCTCGTTCGTTAACATATGCTTAATGAAAGAACAAGACTTCCAACCTTCAAAAAATACCACTTTTTTCAAAGACTAACCTACTCCAACGTATGTATATCGTAGGCCGACTAAGATTCTCCAAATATAAATTAGCAAAGTGCAAAAAAATATTGTAGTCAAGATATTTAGTGAGTGTGGGGATCGAACCCACGATTTTCTCTGTACTGGACTTACGGACACGATGTATCAGGGTCGCTAGTACACCGTGTGTGTAAGTCTTTGTGGGAGAGACGCCTTGCCACTAGGCCAACCCACTTTTTCTCCTTCAATTGGAATGACCGATTGGTTGACATGTTCTTATTTGGATGTTTGAATGGGATAAGGATTTTGGAGTATTGCGGAGGAAGGTAAGGTGCGAGAAAGAAGGGAAGGAACAAACAGCTTTCCTTGGTCGGTAAGTGGGTAACCGAGACGAGAAGGGCGTGTCTGGACAACAAGGTTTAAGAGGAGAGTGACATTTCGATTTACCATTGGATAGTGGAGTGCATTTTTCCATTATTTGTTTGCGGTCTGTTGGCAGTTTGTTGTTTTTTTGTGACATGTTCTGTTGACATTTCCTGATCTGTAGTTTTAATTTTAATGGGTTATTTCTGACATGGAAAGCAATCAGGGACTAGACATTAGAACTCTTTTTGATTTAAGGGCCGGTTACAATTAAACTCGTTTTTGACATTACAACAGATTGGGCGCGTAGATTAATGATTTGTGATAAATGTGTTTTGAGATTTTTTGCATAGTGAGTAGGATGAATTTTCTCTCTCTTTAATATACGACAGCCTACCACAACACAATCTAGAAACCTGCATCCAAACCATATTCAAAGGGAGAGGCTTCATGAGAATTTTTCACAAGTCATGTTAATGTCGATTTGTATTTTCATTTATCTCAGATTTAACTGTTTGAATCGTCACTCACCAAATCTGGCCCATGTCCTCGACTCTGGAGAACAGCTAAGTCAGCCTGCTTAGTACTTTCAATTGAGGATATTACAGAGCCCTTTTCCTAGCTAGAGCCAAACATCATTTCGCAATGGATGAGTAGGTGGATATGCATATTTTGTTTACTTACTAGTCTCGCTTAAATTATAAGGTGCCGATTGAAACCTCGTGCTCAACACGATTCACTATAAACTTTTAAGAAAGAAGTAGATTCATACTTGAAAGCCTTGGGGAGTGGGGTTAATACTATGGGAGGATCTTCTTGCGTCACGTTCTTGGTTGATTGAAAGAAGGATAATTGAACTAACGATAAACGAGTAACTAAGTTTGCGAAAGCCAACATAAATCCAAAACACGGGTGACATGACACCATCGCTATACTTAAGCAGATTTGCACTTGCAAGCACAGTCGCTCATCGGGGTACCCTTAAGCAGGGGGCAAAGCAGCAATCCCCGCAGTCCATCCATCCCCATCCCAAACCCACTCTGAAACAGCAGTGACATGCTCGCCCTTCTGGAAATAGATTCTGATCTGGATTTCACTTCCATTCTGCCAAGAAATGGCAGATACCTTGGAGCCGGGAATGGTCTTCTGTTGGAAGCCGCCGTCGTACCAACCGTTGCCGTCGAATCCCTTCTCGAGAATGCTGTTGTTGGGAGAGGAATAGTAGACGCGGAGACTGATGCCGGATTTTGTGTCGTTGAAGTTAGTGCAGGCGAGAGAGGCGCGGGGGGTGGTGGATGTTGCTGGGATCGAGAGGGAACCGGTGTACCAGGTGCCTTGGCTGTCGTGGCAGAGCTCGGTGATCGAGCGGTCGGGCTTTTGGAAGTAGACTCTTTGCAGAATTAGTCGTGAATTTATGGGTTGAGGGGACATATAAGGCAGCTACATACCTGATGCTCAGGCCTGTGGACCCTGCATAAGAAGTGGCAGTAATGCTGGTACCGGCGAGTGCGGGTCCTAAATTACTCATCTTCTGCCAGCCGCTGGAAGAACCTATGACGAGATATCACTTGTTAGCTAATCGCTCTGCTGATGTTCTGAACATAGCATTTTGGAGTGAGGATAGAAGGGAGGAAATTTCGCGTACTATCAAATCCGTACTCTTGGATCGTCTTGTCGGGGATCTGCACATAAACACGAAGGGAAAATTCCTTCTTAGGAAGCAAAGCCGTGGCGGCGATTTGAGAGTAAGGAGCCAACTGGAAGTTTGACTTGTTGATGGCCCCATCATACCAGCCGACATTGGAGTCGTAAGCGAACTCGCGAAGTTTGTTGTCGGATGACATTGAGTACAGACGAATCTGGGGGAGTTAGCGAAGGCCCGTACAGCGACTAAATTCGAATTGGATGAAGGGTGGTCAGATTGGTTGTATTCGCTTACTTTTTCAAGCCCCTTGAAAGCGGATGCAATGGGAGAATTGCGTTTGGAGGTAGAGAGAACGTTCACTCCCCCGCTCCAGCCATTTTCGTAGCTGCTCTCACGAATACCTCCAAGGACATCTAAAATATGGAGTCAGAATAAAGTTATTACAAAGAATCTTGCGAATGAGGTTCAGGGCTTTGTGCTGTAGTCTGGATCTTGTCTTTGGAGGCAGGTGAGGGTTCAAAGAAGGCAGTGCTAACCTTGAGAGTAAACACGGAGATGGTCGGTTGAATTGACTGCAGCAATTGCAGTGCCTATTTCCGGGTAGTGAGCAAATATTTAATAATCGTAAAGGAGAGTTGGGGATTTCACGGAAAGCAATCTGTTCAACGGCACCTGAAGACATGTTGAAGAGCTACTGATGACTTAAAGAATTTTAGTAATGCTGGGAGGATCAAATATGACTCAGAATCAAGTGAGGAAATGAGTCTTCGTAATTTCTTTTCTGGGATATTTGTGGCCGATGCTGTTGATGGTGGTGATGGTGCTGTTCAGGCAGGAAATAGTTGGAACTTATAGACCAGGCAACTCGTAGAAATGGTTGGCTATGAACAGCAAATTTACACCCAAGAACTTACATATGTCGAGGATCGGAGCTGAGATTGATGAAACATATGTTGAAATGAAATATTCAGCGATTCAGCGCTCTTGAACATTAATGGCTTCCCAGATAGAAGCTGGATGTCGAAGAACAATTGCTCTCCAGCCTTTCATCAAGATAAAATTACACTATGATAGTTCATAATTCCGACTACCTGCAGCAGGTATGATTGTCAAGACATTATTTAAATGAACTCCAAGTCTTGAAGGGGCTCTGAAGAAGCTGAAAATATCTTGTCGTGCATTCACAGTGTCCAAGGAGTGGATTTTGAAGTCCTAATCAAGCCACTCTAGATTTCTCCGCAAGCCTCGACAATACCCCGCCAAGAGCCTCACTGGCTGATGCTACCTGAAGATGCACTTGCGCTTACACAAGACTCTCGAAGAACTCTCAATCTATTTTACGTGGCATTAACAATATATTTGCCAAGATGTGAAATGCCTGATGATTGCTCTGAACAATGTCTGCCAACTCGCTCATCGAGCTTGGCGTGGAGTTCACTAAGAGCTGAAATGTGGAGAAGAATGGTTGTCTGACATGCAGATGATTGTTCGCTTACTGTGAGATATTAACGCAGGATTAGGCGTGAAGTGGTATTTTGAATCTTGTTCAGCTCTCAAGAGAACGCCACGTCGTGTCACAATCGGAGGGGGCGGGCCGGTCCACGAAATGGATATGACAGTGAATCAACAAAAATACGAGATTCTGAATGAGACGTACCGAAAGAAAATCGGAAGTCAAAAATGAAGAACATTGATGTGCCATGGCCATAGCTTTTTGATTGTGTTGCTACTGAAAGTAAAGGAGTGTGTTATGAAATGGTAAAAGCAAAAAGATCCGTCAACATCGTCCGCGAAACCCTCAACTCGAACCTTGACCCTTTCCCTCTTCCCGATTTGAACTGATGAGAACAGTCTACCCTGGCAAGCTTACTGGGCCGCTGGTGGGAGAGCTTTATGACCGATGTTCCATGCACCAAGTCCACCTTGCCATTTCCACTCTGATACGGCCGTGACTTGCACTCCGCTTTGGAGGTAGACGCGGATCTCGGGGGCCTTGGTGTTGTTCGCGTACCAAGAAAGGGATCCAACCCGGGAGCCTGGGATGGAAGCTTGCTAAAGTGTAAAATCTTGAAGTCAGCCTACTGGAATCTCAAAATGGATGTAGAGATGAGAGCTTGATGCGAGAGAGGCATAAAAGACATTCAGTCAAGCAGCACAGCTCTTCGTGCACCACGAATTGAGAATATATGTTTTAGGGAGTTGCACTCACTTTGAAGCCGCCATCGTACCAAGCTCCATCATTGGCTTTCTCAAGGATCAAATCGTTGGCACCAGTGTAGTAAACACGAATGCCGGTTCCACTGGACCACGTCCAAACCGTGGCTGAGATGGCGGCACGGGGCACCGCTGACTTGACGGAAAACTCGCCCGTGTGCCAAACACCAGAGTGCTCATAGGCTTTTTCGATCAGATCAAGATTCGGGGTTTGATAGTAGACGCTTGTGGATTCAAGTCAGCCATTTGGACTTGAAAAATCGTTGGAGGGAGAGGGGCATTATGGACAAGGAAACTTACCGAAGGCTGGTCGCATTTCCACCGTACGAGATGAATGAAATGCTGCTTCCGGGGACAGCTGTCCCCAAGTTTTGGCCCTTGTACCAAGAACCTGGCAATTTTAGCAGAGTTGGCCAGGAAAGAATGAATTCTTACCATCATTGCTGTACTCCTGGATGGAATTGTCCGGAGCCTGTACATACACCCTGATTGTCGACCGAATAAGCAAGTGCTTCAAAGGTGGCATAGGTGCTACAACTCATCGATCTCGACTGAGAGTTCGAGATTGCATGATAGATTGATCAAGCAAAAGTGTTAACTTACCGAATCTTGAGCTGATCAGTGGACAAATACTCAGCTGCAATTTGCGAGTAAGGAGCGATCTGGTAACCCTTGCCACTAAGTTCGCCCGGAAACCACCCCTTGCTGCTCGAATCGGCATCGTAACAGAGTTCAGACAGCTTGAAGTCGGTGCTGATGTAGTAGAGTCGGATCTTTGTAGCACAGTCAGTCGACTAACTTCCACTTTATGGAAAGGTATGTCCTTACATGCCTCAAGCCAGGGGATGCGGCTACGGCGATTGGTGAGTCGATCTTGCCTATAGCAATGGGCTTGTCTCCTCCCCACCAACTACTTCCAGATCCATTGTAACCAGTCTCGCGGATACCACCGTGAATATCCTAGAAATCTTTCAGCAGAAGTTAAATTATCGGTTGATAAGTCATACAAGGAA